ATGGGGGGGGGGGGGGGGGGGGGGGGGGGCCAAGGTAGAAGATATTTCGTCGTGTTTCCTCTTTCGCGGCTGTTACATGTGGTGTTGGGGGGGGGAGGGGGAAGGGCAACGCGGAAGAGATTTGAATGCGTTTTGTTTCGGTGTTGCTGTTTTATGATGATGCTGCTGATGCTGCTGATGCTGCTGCTGCTGCTACTATACAGTCGTGGCTCCGTCATAAGAGGGTACCTTACAAGAGGGGGCTCCGATATAAGAGGGTCGAAATCGGTTGTCACGGACTCGACTCCCTATACCTCTTATACAGAGTCCGGCCCCTTTATAGTCGGGTCACCACTATAGAGGGGGGTTACCGCACTACTGTATTAATAGGAGGCTTGGCAGTTAGGGAGTGTCGCCTTTCAATCACAAAATAACACACCTTCCTAACAACAAAAGGCGCAGGAAGAATAGACCAGAGAGGAGCTGCCAAGGAATCGTCTAGTGGTGTTTTGGTGAAACTGGTGGCAAGTGCAAGGAGGATGATGCAAAGATGATGAAAGCACCCCGAAACGAACACATGTATGTGCAAAGTAGCAGCCTTGGGTAAACACGTGCAGCCTTCTTCTATTGCTACCGTCTCTATCTTCAATCTGGAGAGTAGCTCAGCCCCCCTCTCATGGGGTTCCAGACCTTGGCCTTTCGAAGCACTTTCTTCTGTGTTAGCCGCACTGAGACTGACGTGTTTTCATTGGCTAGCCGGTTAGCGCGGTCGATGCAAAAAATAAAAAAAAACACACACACAGACAGACGAACACACACACATCGCGGCGCTAAGTAGAAGCAGGGGGGCTGTTTGTGCTAGGCTAAAATTCCGTTCCTTTAGCATACGGTTCAAAACCTGCAGCGCAGCAAACCTTAATAATTCTCCTCTAAAGTAAATGTGGGCAATGTGCTGTGTATGTTTGTGTGCGCCAGGGGCCAGGGGGAGGTAGACCGTTTGTTGGTGCAATACAACATTTACTTGTACCGTTGTACATGAAGGAAGTTTCTCATGGTCGGAGAGGTGTCGAGGTTTTGTATGTTGTTCGACTCTGTAGACCATACGTTTTAAATGCATGCGTGAACATGTACTTTACCTCCTAGTCAAACGGCTGCGTCAACTTGGCTGCGAGGCAATTATTCTCTGCAGATGTTTCCACTCCATGAACTACATACAAAACGGAAAGCGTTGGAAAGTGTTGCCGATACGATCACCATCACCCGGATTTCTTCGGGCGTGTGAATTCGGGCAATCAGCCCACCACACGTGCTTACACTCCACCACACTACTACATGCTTACACACCTACACGGCATACTGGTACGCTGTGCTGTAGTCAAAGTGCCTTTGTTGCTCGAGATTTCCCGATTTTCCCTTTATAAGAGGGTACCCTACTACGGAGCACCCTCATACAAGAGGGTAACCCTCTTATACCGATACAAGAGGGGGCTCCGATACAAGAGGGTAGAGAGCCGTTGTCACACCACCCTCTTACAACGGAGCCACGAATGTACACCATCAACAATGACAACAACTACGACTGCTACTGCTGCTGCTGCTGCTGCTGCTGCTGCTGCTGCTCAAGGCCAACTCACCAGCCGAGGCGTGCGCGGCGGCGGCGAGATCGAACTTGAGCCAGCCCACGGTTATGTCCACACGGCCATGGTTGTGGACGAAGCTCAGCACGTGGTCGCGGGCGCTGCGCTTGCAGTTCACGTTCTGGCACTTGAGGTTGGGGTTGAAGCAGTTGTCTACCAAGAACTTGCCTAGAGCCGTGTCCTGAAAAAAAACAAGAGACAAACAATTCCGGGCGAAGGGAGAACAAGATTTACTGTCTCGAAAACTGAGGAGATGGTTCTGGGAACATGACATTTCCCGCGGGGTCAAGCACAAGTGGTATCCACCAAACGAACTTGCCCAGAGCCGTGTCCTGGCAAACCAGACAACCAATTCCGAGGGTGAAAAAGAAAAAACAAAAGGCTCCTACGTGGTCTTCCTTCCTCCCGCGTTACAGCACCCCGGCTGATGTACGTCAAACGTATACCCGAATGGTGCGTACACTCGTGCCGAGACAAGGGGGATGAAGACGAACACACAGCAAGAGAGCAGCTGGAAAAAAAAAACTCATGAACATAAAATCGAGCACACGCCTACGCAAATGTACAAAGGGAAAAAACAAGCAACAACAAAGACATTTATTTCATTGTGCAAGATCCACCCACGTGCTTGTGCTTGTAGTACCGGAAGAACTTGAGGTCGGCGTTGCAGCATTGAGTCCCCTGCGTCATCCACAGGCTCGTGATCATCATGTTCTGGGTCTGGTACGCGAAGTGCTCCGCGCCGTACACGTACCCCCGACCGCCGCTACCCCCCCCCCTGCCAATACCAACCATCGTCGACGCCCCGGCCCCCCCCGGCGCGCCCGCCGTCGCCCC